CAGGAAACCTCTCTCCTGGGGCCACTGCAGCCCTAAAATCCAGTTTTTACTCTCTTCTCACCAGAGCAGAGAGGTTTCTGCCCCTCCAGACTGGTGACCTTTATCTCCTGGAAGCTACACGGCACGATTGTCCTTAGGGCTGCTTTGCGCCGCTCACAGACAGAATCAGCCTCTTGTTGGAAAGGTTGCCAATTCCCTGATGATGAGGCAGACTAAGGCAGCTAGGAAAGATTGGATTTCAAAACTCAAATTCCCATGAACTTGCAAAAACAAGCCATTTCCCTGGTGGCCTTTCCCTGTGGTGTTGCTGCTGCTCCTGCTGGATCCCATCCAGAGTAGTCTCTTCAAGCTGAGAGCAGACTGGATGTTTGCTTGGAGCCAGTGATGCAGCACTGCAGCATTCCTCTCTGGTTTAATGAGAAAAAGTCCATGGCTTTGGGAAAAAACGTCTGCCTCTGAAATAGCACTGATGGGAGCATAAGCACTTCATGTGTTCTCTGTTACTTGATGCTTGTCCTGTCTCATAGTAACAGCTGCTCTGCAGAAACTGATTGTGCAATGCAAAGGTGCTGATGTCTGTACAATTTATAGACTGTTAGTTTCTGTTATATATGAATTTATGTAGTGGTATTAGGGTAGTAATTATATAGCATTTGATCTATCCAAAGTGGATAGGGGTGAGTCAGTCTTCCCAGGAAACACAGAAACAAATGGGTGGGTTGTGGATGTCCAAATTTAATTCCTCCATCATTCCAAGTCTCTTTTTTAAGTGGTGAGAAGGGGATAAAAGTCAGATTAGGTCAAGACAGTGAGATGCAGCCCTGCTACTCCTGCAGTTCTGTCACTGACTTGATCAGAACTAGAATCTGGGATATTTTTGATCAGGAAACGTGTTGCCTTGCTGGTTTTGTGTAGGAGGGATTTTTTTTTTTTCATGCACTACGTGGTAAGTAATATAAAAGGATTTTAATTTTGAGCTTTCAAATTAATGTTGTTTCATGATATTTTCACTGCACCATGGAATGAATTTTGTTTAAAGTAGCTCTCACTAACCCTTTCTGCCACACATAGCAAAATAAGCAGCAGTTGTGTCGTTGCTGAGGTGTCACTGTGTGCTCCTGTTGGTCACAGGTTTTGACAGAGTGCACAACCCCAGTGACATCCTAGGGCTGCAGGTCACATTGAATATAGCTCTGAAAAGAATGGGGAAAATTTGAAAGCCCAATTCTTAGGTTTTAAAGTCTGGTTTTATGACAAACATGAGATAATTAACTGATGACAACTGGACTTGAGCCTTTTTGTCACTACATTTCATGTAGGTCCTGAAATGTTGCTTATAAATGAAAAAGACAAGACTGGTAAGAGTGAGGGCAGATTGAGTCATAGAATCACAGAATCAGCTGGGCTGGAAAAGACCTCCAAGACCATCAAGTCCAACTGTATTGTGGTGACACTAAGTGCCACATCCAGTCTCATCTTGAAAACCTCCAGGGATGGTGAATCCACCACCTCCCTGGGCAGCACATTCCAATGCCTGAGCACTCTCTCTGTAAAAAATCTCTTCCTAACATCCAACCTAACCCTCCCCTGGCAGAGCTTGAGTCTGTGCCCTCTTGTCCTGCTGCTGGTTGCCTGGGAGAAGAGACCAACCCCCACCTGACTCCAACCTCCTGTCAGGGAGTTGCAGAGGGTGAGAAGGTCTCCCCTGAGCCTCCTCTTCTCCAGGCTCAACACCCCCAGCTCCCTCAGCCTCTCCTCATGGCACTTGTGCTCCAGTCCCTTCACCAGCCTCGTTGCTCTTCTCTACACCTGTTCCAGCACCTCAATATCCTTCCTGACCTGAGGGGCCCAGAACTGCACACAGGACTCAAGGTGTTCAAGTCCTCTCCATTTGTGGCATCCTGTCAAAAAACATTATAACACATACTTGAAATACACGATGGAGGCTGCAAAATGCTTCATTAATCTTTTGCTCTGTGACAGTGACCATTAGGAATCATCTCTAGTCCATGTAAATGTACTTTTATGTTAGAGTAGTATGTGAAAATACATTCATCTGCACCCAGCTTTGCATTTCTGGTGGCTGAAGACCACAGAGACAAAGAAGATGGTTGTTGGGGGTCAGCACTTAACTGTCGGTCACTGTACCACCACAGCAGAAGACTCTGGTGCTGCTGTGTGTTTTGGCATGTGAGGATACAATTTAGTAGTTTAAATATTCCTGCACTGAAGCTCCTGGTAAATCATAGAATCAGTGGGATTGGAAAAGACCTCCAAGATCATCAAGTCCAACCCTACCGTGGTCACTAGACCATGGCACTAAGTGCCACATCCAGTCTCAGCTTGAAAACCTCCAGGGATGGTGAATCCACCACCTCCCTGGGCAGCACATTCCAATGTCTGAGCACTCTCTTTTCACTGTCAGAAGCCAATTTCAGTTAAAAGTTCTTTGTCAATTAAGTAAGTTCTGATAGTTGAGGTTTTTTATTGGCCCTCACCTAGCCAGGAAACTGAGTTAAGTTTGTCTGTTCTTCCTCAGGGTTTGCTAGGGAAACCATAGGAGTAGAATTCTCTGCTTGCTCCTCTTTGCTGCTAAAAATATGTGCAGTTTGGGAAAATATGCCTAGATCTGACTTTTCCTGACCTTCTGCAAATTGTAATAAACTGTTCAGAGAACTCGAGCAGCTGCACTGAGAAAACGTCAAAAATATCTCTTGGCACATTCTTACTCCATCTACAGATTGGTCTTCCCTTTGTGAAAACAAAGACCTTTCTGTGAGTCATTTATATTCTTCATGTTTTTTTCAAGTAATGCTTCTCTGAGGCATTTCTATTTTATATTCTTGTCGGCTCTACCAAGGGCATCCAAGTACAGATTCTGCTGCAGCACGTCAGCCTGTGAGCAGGCCAGGGAAGGATCTGATGGCACAGGTGACCAGAGAGCAGGGTGAGATCAAGTGGAGTCATAAGGCAAAAAGCTGAGCCTCTCTTTATGAAAAAAAGAAGTCATTTCAGTAGAAGTTTGTCATTTCCCGTGGTGTAGTTTCAGTTAGTGGTGTTGAACACTGTGGCACCACAGATAAAATAAAATGGCTTTGAGAGTAAGGCAGGGAGAGGTATTGGGGTTTCATTCCTTTTTGTGGAAAAACAGGACTGTGCTGTGACAAATTCCACCCATGGCCCCAAATTGTCAAAAAGCCATCTCTAAATTTAGTCAGTGCTACTAGCCAACTCTGTTGTGTTCTTTTGCACAGATTAGAGCAACTGCTTGGTTAAAATCATCTCTATTTTTTTCATATTTTATTCATTAATCTGGGTGGATTTTTTTTTAGTGTTGTTTTGTTGTAGGGTTTTTTATCTTGAGGTATATTTTGAAAGATGATAATCTTGGTTCCTGGCTTGGGATGCATGTTGGCTGATTTCTCATGCTACATAAAACTTTATGCTGGATATCTGAAGTGTGACCTAGCTTTAAAGCAGGGGATTTTGCTCCTTCATCTGTTCAGGTAGGAAGTCTTGCATTTTCCTTATTCTGAAGGAAAAGAGATAAAATAGAAAGAGTCTCCTCTTATTCCCTCTGTTGGGCTGTTTCCATGGTAGTTCTAGCAGGATGACTTTTGCAAATAACTTGTCTGATTTTGTTTTTGTTCCACATTCTTGTGTTACTTCAGCAATGATGGATTGAAGTTGCAGCAATACTTAGAAACTTGATTTAGCTGCAGTGAGACGAAATGACTTTTAGAAGTGGCATAGTTGTTTTTTTGGCTGAGTAAGGCAAAAGTAAAGTTCTTGTCTCCAAGCAGGAATTTATTCTTGAAATAAGCAGTAAAGTTCCACGATGAGAATAGACTGCTGGGGTTGATCTCATCCCCTGCATGAGTAATTCTGGGTGGTTGTTTAGCAGACTGAACAGGAGATTATAAACTCAGAACCTAGCTTTGTTTCTGGAAACTCTGGAGTGATAAAGAAGCTGGAATAGCTCCTTCCCAGGATTATCTCTGCACTGGGGAGAGCGATATGGAAATAATCTGCCCCGCTCACGTCTCCAGACTATCCCCATAGTGTGCAGCTCCAAGGAATTGGCAGCTCCCTCTTTCAAAGCTTCATTCTGAGTCTTTTTCAAATGGCAAATGTCCAACATTAATAAGCCACATAGCAGAGCTGGGAGGAGGCTGGCGGTGGGGGCAGCAGGAGCACGTTCAACTTCAAACAGGCTTTTAATAGTCAGAACAGTGGTAAGTAGCAAACTGGTTTTACTACTGTCTTGTACTTTGTGAAATCGCAGCCTTTTGACCTGAATGCTTAGGAGCTGAGTGAATCCTGTCAGATCTTTCTGCTTTGCTAAATTACTTTGCTAAATGTGTTTCTGGTTAGGCTAAAATGTAAGAGCTGAAGAAGTATTTAAAATGGGTTTTGACTGCTTTGTTTAAAAAAGAGAAAAAAAAATCTCTGTGATCTGAAGCTCTTGAGTTTCAGTGAAGAACATTTTCGGTTTGTTTTGAACCTTTGCTGCAGTTCAGTAGGATATTTTCTTGTGAAGAATTAAGCTTTCATGCAAGTAAGTGCTTGATTGATTGTCTTTGAGGAATTCTCTGTGTAATTGCACATAAAAAGAACTGTTAGGCAAAAACAATTTTGTGCAAGATCAACCACAGCTTTCTAAAAATTTGATGCTGCTTCTGCTTTTAAAAGCACACTGGTAATCCTGCAGAAAAATTGCTGGCTGATACTGGTTTTCAGAAACAAAACCAGTGTATGTAGAAGAAGTTTGTTTTTCAGTGCACAGTCACTTCATTAAGTAGTGTTTATTAGTCTGGAAAATGTGAGAGCTCTGAGGAGAGGTTTGGTAGTCACTGAACTGGAGTTTTACTTGATTGCAATATGTTTTCTTTAGCACAATACTGGAGGAAGAGAAGCTGCAGCAAGAAGAACGAATGAGAATGGAATCCAGGCGACAAGTCACGGTATCCTGGGACTCAGGAGGATCAGATGAAGCTCCTCCCAAGGTAGCTAAGACTGCAGATTATGTGTGTTTAAAAAATCCCCAACAAAACCAAACCCAAATCCTCTTTTTATTCAGTTTGTTTCTTTAAACCCTCCTCCAGTACCACGGCATTCTGGCCAGTTCTGTCACCGTCTGTGAATCTTTGCCTGAAAGGACCCAGCTCTGCTTGAGCTGTGGTTAGAACTGATCTGTGCTATGATACTGGACTAACAATTTTTACTTCATGTCAATTAACTTGTAAAAGACAACCATAGTTGCCACAGAATTGTTTCCTGGCCTTGCTTTTCCTTTCTTGTAGCTCTCCTATGAATTCCTGGCTGGTGAGCTCTCAGGCCAGTGTGAAGTTTATTTATAACACCTTAGTGAGAGGATAGAAATCAGCTAACTATATTTTCCTTCTTCTTGACAGAAAATTAGGGGTTTGCTTCCAAGAACCTTACGTGGTTTAGTTTCCACTTCATTTGGTTTCATTACTGTCCTGTTTGGCTGTTGCTGATGTGTTCTGCAGCTGTGGGAGTCCAACCTCACCAGTTGCTGAGCTCTCTCCTCTCACTGACATGACTTATCTCTTTCTCCTCAGGGTTATTTTTGCACCTTGATGCACAAGCCTATGTTTTTAAGATTACATTTTGTGTAATCACCACTGTAATGTGGAATATTTTCTGTGTCTTGAGAATAGTTTCTGAATTCCTGGAGCTGTATGTGCACACTCTAGAGCTGACAGTGATCCCAGTAGTACTTGTGTGGCACCTTTGGCTGCACACAACCCCCAGCACTCATAGGAAGGCAACTTCTTTTGATTTTCTTTGGTGTCCCCATATCCAGGTTGTTGCCTGATAGATTTCTGACCTTTGTTCTGCATTTTGATAGCTTTGTGGCAAATAAGGACAGTGGAATTGCTGTTTCATTCCAGAGTTAAAAACAGCAAACAATCCATCAATCTGTTTAGTCATCTGAGATGAATTAACAGGATTTGGTGTTTATCTAAACAGATCAAGTTCCAAGTTACAGAAACAGATAAACTGCATAAATTGGAACAATATATACTGCTTAATTATTACAGCCTTGTTTGAAGAATTTGTTTAGTCTTGAAGCTTTGGGGCCAATCCAAATAGAATAAGTAGCTTTTACCAATGTAATTTATGAGCTACACCGTGTTAGAAATTATCTTCATTAGAGCTTTGTGTGTGATGTATAAACTGAAACACTTGACCAAAGGTGTGTTAGGACTGAAATTATTTCTACCATTGCCTATCTGTTTGATAGTCAGTGTGTCCTCACTGCTTATATAATACAGCTGTTTGTTAGGTTTTTATACAGTGTTTTTGTGTAAAATATGGATGTGCACACTAATGGCATTTGAATTTTAAGTGCCTCAAGTTATTATCTAATCATCTAGTGGTGACAACTGATTTTTGTATTCTTCTGACAATTCATTATAGAAATTTCAGGTCTTTGTAAGTCTAAAACTCCATTATTTATAGCCTTAAATTCTTACACATTCTCAAATAATTCACAGCTCTCACAGTCCATACTATGAATTACTTGTATCTCAGTGTTTTCCATTAGTAACCTAGAATAGAAAACATCCTAGTCCAGAATGATAGTGATGTTTTTCATAATGGAATGATAAATTCTGCAGCCTCAAGGTAATGTGGTTGCCTTTAATTGCCAAAGGGACTGAAGGAACCATTTGCAGAATGATGAGGTTTGAGGGGGTTTTCCCCTCTTAGGTTGATTTTTCTGTTCTGGAAACACCCAGCAGTACTGCTCCTTATCAAAAGAAACCCTGAAATATACCTTTGGAGGTTCAGAATATAATCAAAAGCATCTCCCATGTTGAGGCAATTAATTACACAGAAGTCAATTACACAGAACTAACTTTATACCTCAGGATACCAGGTCAAAATAGTCAAGCTAAACATGCTAGTTTGGTTTGTGTTACTCCAACTGAAGCAAAAGAATTTACTTTTGGGAAGGGTCACAAAAGCAACAAATTAACACCAAAACTTGGAAACATAGAATCATAGAATTCAAGGGTTGGAATGGACATTAGAGATCATCTAGTCCCAACCCCCTGCCTTGGGCAGGGACACCTCCTCACTAGATCAGGTTGCTCAAGGCTCATCCAGCCTGGCCTTGAACACCACCAGGGTTGGGGCAGCCACCACATCCCTGGGCAACCTGTGCCAGTGTCTCACCACCCTTAGAATAAAAAGCTTTTTTCTCACATCCAACCTAGACTTTGCCTCCTTCAATTTGAACCTATTCCCCCTTGTCCTGTCACTGCAGTTCCTAACACAGAGTCCCTCTCTGGCTCCTTGTAGGCCCTTCAGATATTGAACAGTTGCTCTGAGGTCTCCATGCAGAGATCTCTTCTCCAGGCTGAACAGCCCCACACAATGCAGTGTGTGCACCTGGAAGTTTGGTTTGAGAATTATGATGTCCTCTCTAGAGTCAAACAGCACAGAGCAGGTCCTTTAGTTCAACCAATTAAATATGCACAAAGAATGCATCCACATACAGAGCAGACAATTCAGCCACATCCATTTCCAACCAAAAGTGGAGGAAAACTCTTCTCCAGGCTGAACAGCCCCACACAATGCAGTGTGTGCACCTGGAAGTTTGGTTTGAGAATTATGATGTCCTCTCTAGAGTCAAACAGCACAGAGCAGGTCCTTTAGTTCAACCAATTAAATATGCACAAAGAATGCATCCACATACAGAGCAGACAATTCAGCCACATCCATTTCCAACCAAAAGTGGAGGAAAACTTAATTTTAGTTGTTTTTTAAAAAAAAATAAATTTGTAATTAAAAAAAAGTTCTTTCAGGGTTTTTTTCCTTGCTTTTGTGATTAATCATCTGTAAATGTGACTCACTGAAGAGCAGTTTTCTGGGTTTAATTTTCTGTTTCTAAAGGCTCTCAATATTTATTTCTGCTTACAGCCCAGTAGACCTGGTTACCCCAGTCCCAGATCCAGTGAAGGATTTTATCCAAGTCCACAGCATATGGTACAGCCAAATCATTATCAGGTATTCCATTTTACACTATGCTGGTTTTTTCACATGTGGGGTTTATGTCTCAGTTGCAGCTGGTGGGATTGGTTCATTTCTTAGGGTTTATTTTCGTTCAGTTCCGTTAAATGAGTTTTGTTTTACATCAGAACAAACCCCAAACTGAGCCTGGTAGGTTTACTCCATATGGCAAATATTTTCATATCTGATGTGGTGCTCAAATCTTTAAAACTGCAGTGAAACACATCAGTATTTCCATATTTATTGAAGGAATGTGGCGTTCTTGTTAACATTTGTGTGAGCTATGAAACCAGTTGCCTTATAAAATGGCATTAACTGGGGGATGTGCCTTGGGATCACTGATATTTCATTTTCTGTTGGCTGGTAGCTGCTGCCTTCAGCATTACCACATTGTATACTCACAGGTTCTGCTTGTCTTCCTAACATTGCTGAAGAAATCTAAAACAAAAGTTTGTCATTAAAGGACTTTAGGCAATTTTAGGTTCAAGGCTGCAGCCATAAACAGCCATGTCAGTCGATTATTTTTTTTCTCCATAGAGAGGGAGAAGGTTTTCATTGATTTAACAAGTACTTCAGGCTCATTAAAAGTACTTGGATTTTCCTGTGGTGAAGTTCCCAGGCCGTGCAGCTAAGCACACTAATTACATGCTGTCACTCAAGACTTCAGCCTGTAACATGCAGCAGGGGGGACGTTTTTATGGGGCTCTGCAGGGCGATGCTTGCAGGCTCCTGTTAACTGGAACATGAGCTCTGTGTCTCTGCCTCTTACATACGTATTTATAAATCTGGTTTTGTCCTCAGAGGGCTTTGATCTTCTTGACTGCAGAGGTTAGAACATGCTCTAATGCTGCTGGTTTGATAGGCAGCCTCGAGTAGTTATAGTTATAGTTATCCTCAGTTAGATTTCCATCTACTTTTGTGTAGTGACAATGATTCTTCCATAGTTATGATGTGATATGCATCCTGAACAACTTGAGAAAGAGGTTGTGTGTTGTATTTTGGCTCAGCTTCCTTCTTCTGAAGTTGCTTCCCCTCCTCCCTTCCAGTGACTGCCTGAATTGAGTCATTTCTCTGCTTTTATATTCGCTCCCTTGGGAGGATGAAGCTACTAATTATGGGGAAGCACAGATTTTATTAATATCTCTTTTTCCCCTCTTTGTTTTTGTTTGTTTGGGGGGTTTTTTTGCCCCCTAAAGGTATCTGGCTACCCTGGTTCTCATGGGATACCAGCCATGGCAGGCAGCATTTATCCTGGGCAGGCTTCTCTCTTGGATCAAACAGATTCCTGGAACCATCGGCCTCAGGAAATATCAGTGTGGCAACCAAACATGGAGGTATTGTGAATTGACATCTCTGTTGTTGTGTTCTGTACAGTTAATACTCTATAATTTTTATTATTTAGGTAGAACTGTTGTACTAAAACTAAGTGTTTGGTAGTTTTTTTATTTGCCAGTGGGCTGGGAGTCAGGACTGAATCCTTCTGTGTGAGGTTGGGCATAAAGTGTCACTGCACATGAATTCTTGATGGAGTTTTTACTACTTATCTTAACTGAGTGATAGCAAATATTTGGTGTTTGTTAGAAGACTTCACTGCAACTTGGTGTTGTTCACAGAGATGGGAACATTCATGTAAATACACATAATACCATTACTGTGTGAAAATACCTGGGAGATACCCAGAATAGCTAAGGGACCTGAGGCTTCTCTGTAACTTAGCCAGAACAGAAAGTGAATACTGTGTTCAGTTCTGGGCCCCTCAGGTCAGGAAGGATATTGAGGTGCTGGAGCAGGTGCAGAGAAGAGCAACGAGGCTGGTGAAGGGACTGGAGCACAAGTGCCATGAGGAGAGGCTGAGGGAGCTGGGGGGGTTGAGCCTGGAGCAGAGGAGGCTCAGGGGAGACCTTCTCACCCTCTGCAACTCCCTGAGAGGAGGTTGGAGTCAGGTGGGGGTTGGTCTCTTCTCCCAGGCAACCAGCAGCAGGACAAGAGGGCACAGACTCAAGCTCTGCCAGGGGAGGCTTAGGTTGGATGTTAGGAAGAGATTTTTTAGAGAGAGTGATCAGACATTGGAATGTGCTGCCCAGGGAGGTGGTGGATTCACCATCCCTGGAGGTTTTCAAGATGAGACTAATGTGGCACTTAGTGCCATGGTCTGGTAACCGTGGTAGGGTTGGACTTGATTATCTTGGAGGTCTTTTCCAACCCAGTTGATTCTGTGATTCTATGAAATGGTCTGCAAAGCTGTTCCTGAGTTGAATTCCCATTGGGTGCTCTTCAGACTGTTGTGGTGGCACAGAGCTGCTTTGAGGAACATGAAACTAGTTCCCTCTTTAGCCTTCCCTAATTTCTGTTCTATTCTCCAGTGTTATTTACTTTTTCATTCAATTTTGTCCACAAAGATTCTCTTTGTGCAGCTTCTGTCTTAAATCCAGAGTTCTTTAACCAGCTCTATTCCCTTTCAAGTGATAGCTGAGACATACCTATATGATGTTACCAAATTCCCTTGGGCTTTCTTAAAAATACTTATTTGTACACTATTTGCTAATGATTTCCAGAAAGCATTGGGGTATGGTATGTACAGTATTTGTCAGCTTAAGTCAGACATAAATATTTGTTCAAAAATTGGTTGAAAAATGTTTTAGTGATATGCTTTGGAAGTGTTGGCTGAAACAGAACAGCATATTTGTTTTGAGTTTAAAATATGTATCTTGCAGCTTTTAGCAACTGGATAGTTACATTATTGCTCAAGACCAAGAAAACAAAATTGATAAATCTGGTTTTGTTGTCCAACTTAAATGAACTGCAATATATGAAGTGACAACATTACTGAGAAACAGAACAGAATCTTTCAAAACCTTTTGGTTGCAGCTATTTGGAGTGAGGCAGATAAAATGTTTTGAGTTGGAAATTTTCTTCTGCTCTGCTTTGGTTTATGAGGAGCTGAAGGAACTCTGCTGGACTGCTGTTACACATTTGGACTTCTAAAAATCAGTTCTTTTATAAGCTGTAAGTTCTTGCAGCTCTTTGCAGAAATTGTAAGTTGTGACTCTGTATAAACTTGCTCTGGGTTGTAGGATTCAGGCACTTTGGACATACGAGGAATGAGCCAGGTCCTCCCCACACACCTCATGGAGGAGAGGTTGATACGACAGCAGCAAGAGATGGAAGAAGATCAGCGCTGGCTTGAAAAAGAAGAACGATTCCTGGTAATCCTTTGGTTCATGGTGCTTCTGAATTCCTTCTGCTTGCTCTTGTTGTATTGCAGCTGGCAATACATTGTGAGAAATGAGGATATTTACTGAACTGCCAAAATGTAGGTGTGGAAACAGGTTTTAAAATAAGTGTTCGGCTAGTGAGTCCTGTAATTCAAATATCTTGAACAGCTGTGGCTTTTGGTGAATCTCATTTTAGCCAGTTGAGTGTTTGTGTGGGGGAGGTTGTGGGCATAATTCTGTGCCTGCCTGGAGTTTGCCTGGTTGTTCTTAAGGAGGTGGATCTGTGCAGACTCTACCCCTAAAAAAAGGATAGGCAGCAGCTGTGTAAGAAGCCTGACTGTGCTAAGAGTTGTAAGCAGTCTTGCACTGGAGGACATGTGTTGGTGGGAAGAAATCATTTGAGAGAGCTCTGTGAAGTGGGGAAAAAGCTCTGAATATCACCAAGAATAAATCATTGGTAATGGGATCTCCTGATGCTGTTTCCCTGCAGTCCATGTTTCCTTGTTGTCACTGCCACTGGTGGGTTTTGTTTCAGCTCTGGCTTCCTAGTCACCAGAATTGAAGTTTTCTGTTAAATTTCTCCTACTTGAGACTGATGGCTACAGCTGGAGATGGTAGTAGAAGGTAGTAGGAACATGTTACTGTGCACATGTTACTCTTTAGAGCTGTCCTCCAGGAAAATTTTAATTGTACAGATGAATTAATTTGATTTTAGACACCAGAATTGCTGATCGTGTTTGTCTTGCTGAACTTGAAACCACCTTTTAGGGATCTTGAAGCCAGGACATTCAGTTCCTTGAAAAGAAGAATGTGTGCATTATTCCTCAGCAGGTCAGTGGGCAGGAAAGGAGAGCAGGTCTTGTATGTAGATGATGCTACCGAGACCTTATTCCTTGGCAGTTGACTTGTCTTAGCCTCAGAGGAGTTTAGTTATGTTTGGTATTCTGAACTGTTCTGAACAGCCAATGGCTGGAAAAATCCCAACCAAAGCAGAATAAATCTCTGTGAGCTCTCAAGTGCTACTGATAGATGTCTCCATGTCCATCTTCTAGCTGAGATCCACATTGCACTGGAGGTAAGAAGTTACTTTTGATTCAAGGATGTTGAAGCTTTTAAGTCCACTTGGGAATTCTAGGTTTGCCATTGGATGACAGTAAAGAAACCACTGTAGCCAGATTGTTTTATCCAGTTAAAGCTAAAGAGAGGGAGGGGAAAGGAAAATTTCTTCCCTAATTTAGGTATTAGCTTTTCCAGTCTTGAGTGGCACCAGTTGCTTGTGACTTTAACAGCCCATGAGGTTGAAGTCATCCCACTGATGGTTAAAACTTTCAAGATGTTCAAGAACTTTTTGAAAAATTGATGTGCTTTTTGGGAAGGAGGCACTGACATTTCAGGTTGTGTGGGAACATTCTGCAGAAAACTTTCTGACCTTTTCTGCAGAATGAATGATAATTATTTGTCGTGTTTATTATTCTGTTTGGTTTCAGCCTCTGGACCATTAGGATGTTTAATGTCCCTCAAATTGATGTTGGGAAGGAACTTGATGATTTTTCTTTTGATCTGTAGTAGAGTCTTAGCATATGCTTGGAAAAGAATTGCTGTGTTTCCATTTTGTGTTAAGTTTTACTGCATGGAGACACCACCTCTACTGCATCTATTCTGTTGTGGAATTTGGATCTATAAGACACATCAGAGTATTTTTTTCCACACTAACATTTTGACTGTGTAGACTTTGAATGCCTGTTGCAGATTTACAGCCCATGTGAGAAGCTAAATGAGCTGCTGATAGCCACAGGGTGACTTTGAGCCCATAGCAGGATGTATGTCAGGGGAGTATTCAGTTCATAGGTGAGTGTTTCTTGGAAAAGGAATGTGGGTTTCTAGGTTTAGCCCTGAAGAAATTAAGGTGGTAGAAGAGTCATTGTGGGGAGTCACTCCTGGAAGCTTTCCAGGCCTCCTGAAGAATAGCCACAGTTCATACACAGCAGTCGAAACATACAAAAATAAGCCTCATGTTAAGGCAGTAAGGCCATATAATGAGGTCCAGCATAGAAATAAGCCATAAATTACACATAATGCTCCTTGGCCTATGTCTTCTAGTGGGTGACTAGTGACATTTCTGCTCTTGGAAGAAGAGCCTTTCCTATTTTCACTCCAGGTGATTTAGGGAGGAGCAGTCTTGGACCTCTTTTGCCTGCTTTAGGCAGGTTTCAGAAGAAAATTTGTCCATTTGTACACAAAGAACAATAATATTTAACTGATGTGACTATAATATTTAGCAGTTAACATTTAACTTATGTAACCCTGTGTATTGTTCTTAGTGTAAACTGGCTCCTTCCAAAAGCAGCTCTATTTCCCCATTCTTCAGGCTCTGCAGTACATCTCCCTTGTCCCACTGAGAGTTGGACTCACAGGGGAGGAACTGCAAATCGTTCAGTGTAAGATGCTCCAACAAGACAAAAAATCCTCCATGGGGTTTCTGTTAGCACAATTTTTGTTTCCCCAGAGTAACACCAACTTGCTCACGACTTGAAATTTATTGCTGCTTCTACAGGGAGAAAAGACAACTCGAAGCACATTGTTGCATGGATAAACAGTGCTGAGGCTGCATGTGCTGGAAGGAAAACACCTCAGATGGGGAATTAAGTTGCAGTGGCATTGAAATGGAAATGTACCAGTCTATGGGGAGGTTGTTATCTGTGTAAGCAGTTTGCCTAAAACTGGTCCTTGGAGAGCATGGGACTAGTCCATGCTTGAAAGGAGACAGAGATTTTGTTTGTAAGCTGCAGCCTAAACAGAATGCAGAATTCTGAAATTCTGCTGTACATAGAGAAAACAAACAGATCTCTCATTATGAGAAGCTCCTGAATGACCATAAATTCATTGTGTATAAACTGAAGAATAAAGAGGTATTTAATTTTAAATTATACCAAATACATCTGTTAGAGGATGAGAAGAAAATTGGTGAAGGGGTTGATTTGGGGGGACTTTTTTTGCAGGACTGACACTCTCTCCCACACCATGACAGGGAGAGGATGCAGCACACTAGTCTGGCAGCTGTAATGGACACTGATTAAATTTGTGGACTTCTGTGCTGTCCTGATGAAAATGCTTTGGATGGAGATGAGCATCTCCAGGAAGGACAGAAACATGTGGATTATCTCTGAGGAATCTGAGGTGAACACAAAGCACCTAAAGTTTGATCCAGGTCACTGTAGGAGACAGGCTCTGTCCAGGGCATGTGCAGGTGGAGGGGTGAGATGGCTACACTACACACACATTACTATCTCTAAGCATTTTACACAGCACTTTTCCTCTTCAGGGTGTGTTTAATTACCTGCTTGCTCATTTATAAGGAGTTTCCAGTCTGACCCTTTCTTTGTGGCTGTACTGATGTTATGTGACATTATTTTTGCTCATATAAATCAAGATATGTATGTGCATGCCTTTCAGTAACTCCTCAGCAGACAGAGCAGTGTTGTGCTAAGAAATTTATAGTCCTTTCCGTGATAGGTTAAGGAGAAATAACTCACATAGTTTCTTTATCATGCTTGGGTTTGTTTTTTTTCTGAAATTCCCACATAGTTGTGGTTTTATCCTGTTTTGACACTGAGAACTGCAATTCAAGTATAATTGATGTGAACTGTTGCTAAAATAAGACTTTAATTTTTAGCCTGAGAAAATCCCACCAAGACACTACAATTCAACATGTCCTGAGAACTCCAAGGCTGACATGGTCTTTTATTAGCAAGTAACCAGAAATACTGGAAATCAAGTAGATTATGTCCCAGTTTCTCAACATACACATCCTGTCTGAAAAGTCCTCTTGACATTTCCAAGGGTTTCAGATAATGGACTATTTATTGGGAAAAATTCCATTTACTTTTGGAGGATTTTGTTTTTTCTGCGGGATTTTGACAACATGTAGTTCTCCCTCTCTGTGGTTTTCAGAAGAACTGTCATGGGGGTCCAGGGCCATGGCAAGGGTGGAAAGATGTCAGGGTGTGCTTTGGGGATGTGAAATGGTGTGTCAAGTATAGAACAGGTTGGGTTTGGTGTGAGGTCTAGAGGATGTGGAGTTTAACACAGCTCAGTGTTAAAACTTCAGCAATGTATTCTGTCATGCCAAGATGAGAGGCTCAAGTTAAAGCTCTGAGGTGTAACTGTGCAGGTCACTGAGCTGCAGGAGGGTGTGCAGCTGTGCAGGCTGCTCAGAGATCCTCTGGTGTGCCATTATCCCTTGGCACTTGGGATATCACCATGAGCTGCAGAGTGAGCTCAG